TTTTCTTTTCTTTCTTTCTTTCTTTCTTTCTTTCTTTCTTTCTTTCTTTCTTTTCTTTCTTTTCTTTCTTTCTTTCTTTCACTAGAGACTGATGAAGGGGAGAGTAACTAGAAGGTTAATTTTGGTGGGGTGGGGGCCGTGATTGACTGGGCAGGAGGACTGGGACTGGGAGCCAGGGAAGATGGGGGCCTGGGACTAACTAGGTAAGGAGACTGGAATTAGAACAGAAGTTCCTGATCTACCTTATAGAATCTAAACCTAAGTCAAACAGAAATAGCTGTATGGAAGGGGAGTGCCATGACTGGGATGGGCCTGACAGAATAGGTAGCAAACATACACATTCATTCAGGCCAGCCCTGATTACTCTCTCCAGATTAAATCTAAAAATCCCGGATTGACGTCAGCAGATTCTGATGTAGCAAAATGATGGCATGACAATGGCTTCACAGCATATAAGGTCTTCACAGCAGAACCCCCAATTCCCTTCACCCCAAGTATGATTAGCCCTTGTTATTCAGAAAGTGGCAAATGCCTTTCTATTGGTATAAGCAATCAGACCCTCATTAAGCAGGTGTACGTGGAGAACCCTCTCCTTGGTCTGTCAGTTAGTTTGGTGTGAGACCCTAGACAAAGGCAGAGGCTCAGTCAGCTACTTCCTGGGACAGGGCAGTCCTGGCTTAGCTGAGGTTTCTGCAAGAGGAAGTTGCCCATCTGCAGTCCCTGACACCTCTGTCCAAGGAAACAGGTTTCATATACATTTTGTAAATACATGGGTTTACACAAAGGGCAGGTCTGTATGGAATAGGTGTGTGCCCCTGAGCTATGTTGGTTAGGAATGTGGTTTTTTACAACATAACTGTGCCAGCAAATGCCCTGGTGTTAGATGCACTTACACTGGCAAAAAAAGTGCTTTTGCTGGTAGAGTTTATTTGGCTCAGGGAACAGGTATAAGCTTTATTGGCAAAAGAGCTTTTCTGCTGGTCTAAGCTGCATCTACACTAGGAGACTGTTGCTTCTTTAACTATGCCAGTGCAATTAAAGCAGTAAAACCTCCAGGTGTGCACCAAGCCCAAGTAAACATGTCTCCACGTCACTGACTTCTACCTCACTTGGGAAATTGACCTGCAAGGCCCCGAAAATCTGCTTCCATTAAGCTAAGGGAGCAACACCTTACACCCTGCTCCCTGCATTTCCCGCAAGTGTAAAGGGCCATGTCTCACCCAAATGGTGGATACTACACTCTTCCCCTCTGGAGTATGATGGGTCCTCAGCTGCACATTATCCCCTCCCCCAACTGAGTGTTTTGGCCCTTGTTTCTGCCTCCCCCTTCCTCCCAGCCACCGTCTCCCTCACTCCATTCTGTGTGGGGCTCTGCCCCCTGAATTCGACTGACAGTGGCAGCGACGTCAAAGGGGAAGCTGCTGGGTAAGAACTGTCTCTCTCCAAGAACTCACCCCCAAACGGGATGAGGGAAGCAGAATGTGACTGCACCCTTCTCCTGCCAGCCACACTCCATAATGTGTGAGAGCCGGACACTGCAATGAGCATTGTGGGCTCAATTCTGCCCTCAGTTACTGGGGTGCAGCAGAAAGGTAAACTGGGTTGAGATTAGCCCCATAAATTGTCCTGAACCTGAATTCCCAGACTTCCTTCCTGTTTCATCTGTGCTCCCAATCACACTACACACACACTGTGTTGGGGATTGGGTCAAGTGTCAGTTGGGAGGGGGGTGATGCTGAACTTCTGTGAGTTCAAGTGGTTACAATTCTTCTTTCCAGTAATCAGCAGTAAAGCTCTGAGCCACACCCCATCCTACTTCCCCATCTCCTGTAAGTATTTTACTTTCAGATTCCGAGTGACTATTTATTTTTACAGCCTGAGGCAAACACAACAGTATGAAACTTCATGGGGAGCTGTGTTTGCTGTTGATTCTACTAGAGAAGAGGAGGTAGGTGGCATTCTCTATTACAAAAACACTGGAAAATTTCTTAGAACAAAAATCTCTAGGCCAAATTTGAAGATTCTTTCTCTGTGAACTGCCTTGGTGTTCAGTGGAACAAAACTGAATCAAGACAATTTAAAACTAACAGTTAAATAAAGAGCTCAGAATCTGAACAATGTTGATTGATTTTCATACTGTCAGGGACATATCAGCATCAGTCTGTTGCCATCAATCACAGCAGAGCTTTAATGATTTGTGTAGAAAAGCCAGGAGAAACGTGCCAGGACATTTTACAACATGCAGAGCTGTGATCGCAGCTATCAACTCCTGCCTTTCATATTTACCTCCCAGTGTCCAAACTGTTAGAGAAACATCCTGGTAATGACTAGAATAGCCACCCTGGGAGTGAGGTGTAAGGAAAAGCTTTATCGTTTATGGAAAATCTATTCAGTATTGTTACAGGAATACCTAACACTTGGACTTCATTAACTGTGTGTATGTACAGACCACTTTGTGCTAACAGTAAATGCAAAGTCTTCTGACCATTTGTATCTGTTTCATTCACATATTATCATGAGTGTTTTAAAGGCTTGGAACCCTGAGCACTTTGGTGAGGTTTTCCACTTTTTATGAATTATCTTACTATATGAAAAAGAACAGGTGTACTTGTGGCACCTTAGAGACTAACAAATTTATTAGAGCATAAGCTTTCGTGGACTACAGCCCACTTCTTCGGATGCATAGAATGGAACACATATTGAGGAGATATATATACACATACAGAGAGCATGAACAGGTGGGAGTTGTC